ATAACCTATTCATACGAAGTCGGATTTCATAATTCTTTATATGTATGAAATCTTTGTCACATATACTATAACTTTGGTTGAGATTATTTATCATATATAATCATCTATCAAAAATTCGTTTTTATTGCTTATTTGTCTAGCCCAAATCTTCGGGCGTTACACAAAACTAATGTTTTCTTCAATGATTCTTCAACAATTCTTCAAAAGGTTCACCTCTACAACTCCTTCGGCCTTTAAGAGGGAGTATAGGGCTATTTTTCGCACCTAAAGAGGTTTTACACTCTCATTTAAGTTGTGAAAATATCGTTTTTATTAAAAAAAAACTTAGTGCAACCAAGCATTCATCTTCGCGGCGCTAAACATGACCTTTGTAGATTGTTACCGAAGTAAAACCTTCTTTGTGTCGCTATCCTTTAAAGGTTGTGGCGCTAACCCCGTTTGTAATGGTAACTTCAAGTTTGTGCTTTATCTACTCCATATTTAGCTTCAATCTTCTCCTTTTAGTCGTATATCCAGATTTTGACCTTTCTTATCATATTTATGTGTATTTAAAATATTCTATATTAAATACTAATATAATTACCTATATTTAATGACTAATTTATGTGATATCAAAATACCCCACGCGTAGGTTTTGTTTGCCCCCAATCGGATGTACAATCATAGAACCTCAAGATATTGAACTCCTTAAACTAGAATTTGTAAAATATAAATAGAATAGAAAAGTAAAGTACTCGAAATTTTGTTTTTCTATATAAATACATACTTATTGTGAAACCTATGACTTTCGATGAAACCCATGAACATAATTCTCCCCAGTCGATCCCAAACCAGTTTGTGTGTGGTCACTAGATGTAAAACATCCCTCCGAGGGTACCATATAAAATTTAAAGATCACAAATTGGTTTCACTCTTAATATAATAACTAACTATAACTTACAGCTTGCAAATTTAAACTTCAATCCTTATTGGTTTACAAAAATTAAAAACTTTCGACAAAATTTGACTCTAAAAGCATAACATTGATCCATATACCCTACACTTAAAATGTACAATGCCCCATTGTACATACATATAAAGAATAAAATTTTATGGCTATGGATTGGTGAGATCGAAAGTTGGTTGATTATTGTTTTAATCGGAGCTTCATACTATCAGAATTCTTGGTAGTTATTCTTTGTCAAAACTCAAGAACGCCTTATATGTTATGGATCGCATTTCTAGATAAAGAATATCAACACGCGAAATGTATTCTCTGTGTGCTCCATTATAGTGATTTAATATAAGCTTCGCGATGTTAGATAATGATGCTCACATCGTGAAGAGTAAACAATTCACTTCCTTCTTTACAAAGTCGGATCGATCAGAAACTTCGTTGGTCACTCGAATCTTAGTTATTTGTATAATGTTTTCCGTGAAAATAATATTATAACAAATTCCAAGAACCCTACACTTAAATGGTCACATCACTAAAATATTAAAACAAATCCATTAGTTTAAAATTATAAAAACACAGAGAATCACAAAGTAGAAGCAACCTAAAAACCAAAAAGATAAATTCTTTAAAATAAATAGAGCACTAGAAAAAGTAATATTGTTTAATAACCATTAAGAAAAAGTAAACTCAAACAAAGGTTAGGTTGCCTCCCTTAAAGCGCTTCCTTTTATCTTTAGTGTGTAGTCAGACTCCTCCTGTTATCTAACTCTTGTTGGGTGTTGATGGTCTTTTCTTCCGATCTTCCATTTTCTTCTCGTACCCATTGAATCTCTTTCTATATACTTGCCTCACACTTTCCTTGCTCGAATTGACTCGACTTCAGTCAACTTCTTCCTGTTTATGTCCTCCTTCTTCTCCCAATCGTCTGTTTTTTCTTTCATTGCTTGAGAATTTTCAACTTTCGTTATTTGAATATAGTCCATACTTCCTTGCTTAAGCAGTATATCAATCCCCGATGCAAAAATTAATTTTTGAAGGACATTGCTTTATCTCTGCTTCTATTAACTCTTCCAAAATCAGTAAATCTTCTTTTTCGCTCTTTTCCTTTTTGTCTTTGCAAATTACTTTAGTTTATGCTGGATAATTTTCTTCCAATTCAAATGGATTCACTTCGTTATCAGAGAATTTTAAATTTCACTTACTTAAACAATGAGAAACGATTCTCATGTTTTTTTTCAACTACTTCATTAGTAATTCCCCTTCGCGAAAGATAATCATCACTCCATAAATTTTCCATTAACTCTTCGTAAAGTTTATCAACCCTTAGATCATCATCTTTCTATTTTCTGAACCCATCAATTATAATTACTTTGCAAAAATTCATGCTCTTGGTCTTCAAATCATGATTTTCCCCGAACCTCATTACTCGCGACAATACTTTGGTCGTCATTATGATGCAAAAAATCATTTTCATCAATTTCTTTTAACCTCACGTCGAATAACGACATGACATGTAATATGTCACGGTGTAGAACTTCTTCATCCTCTATTTTTTCCTTTTCTTTCACATTTTAAATCTATCTTTCTGAATTCCTCCTCAAATCTTACATCATCCCAAACCTATTCATTTTTCAAATTATTCATGTATTGTGCATACTCTTCATCCATTAAATGCATGAGTTCTTCAAGTTTCTCATTTTCATCTTCTTCGAAAGTGTCCACATGAAAATTTTCATGTTTCCTTTTTATTACTTTTGGATCTTCTGAACTGAATGTGAGCAACTTTGAACCTATTCTCAATATGAGTTTTGATTCGCTGATATCCAAAACCGCTCTTGCCGTATTCAGAAAAGGTCTTCCCAAAATAGTTGGTACTTCAATGTCCTCAATTTCCAAAATAACAAAAAAAAAGTCCCTATTTTGACAAGCATATCTCTAACAATCCCTTTTGGATAAGTTACCGACTTGTTAGCCATATGAATAAACATCTTTTTGGGCTCTAGTTTTTACAATACAAGCTTAAGAAAGAATGAGTGTGGCATTAGGTTCACACTAGATCCGAAATCCGTTAAAGCATTTGTCTTTAAACTCCTAAATTTGCATGGTATCGTTAGACTTCATGGAAGCTCTTTTTTTCTTGGAATATGACTTGCCATTCCGGTTAATTGTTGCTTGTAATCACCTATTCTTGATAACTTATTCATACCCTTCTGATTATACTTTAAGAATTTTAGAAGCGTCACATAGTTCAACAATTTGTTTAATGCTTCGACTATGGAAACATATCTCAACTTTAGTCTAGTATACTCCAGAATGTTTTTATGCTCCTCCTCGAACTCATTCTAGACATTTCTTGCAGGATAGGGCAAAAGTGGTCGACAATTCTTCAAATCCGAATTTGTCTTCTAGGACATACATCACCACATAAAATGCAAACATTTAGAATTTCTTTTCCGATCCACCCTTTGGACTGCACAATAGGTAATAATTAGTACTAACAAGTTTTAATGGCTAAGAGATTGTACCTTCTACAACAATATCTTGGACATGATCTTCAGGATTTTTTTCCGTGTTGCTAGGCAACGTTCACGGAAGGCATTCTTGTAAGAGCCTTGATAATTGACTCATTTGTTGTTGGATTCCAAGTATAGATCCTTGCTGATTTCAAAGTGTTGCTTGCTGGTCCTTGAGAGCTTCATCTATTGTGTTGTGGCATTTTTCGGAAGCCTCCGCGAATTTAGCCAAAAGGGATTCTAAACCGGGATTTCTTTCTTGAATTGGTTTCTACTTTGATAAAATCCTCCAACTTTTAGTTTATATTTTTCATCTCCTTCTTTCCGGTACTCTTCATATGGTTTCCACTCCTTTTTGGGTTGTCGCCAGTCTTGATCATATTTGTCACCACTAAAGTAACAAACTTATGCCTTCTTCTTCCCATTCTTGTCAAGGTATCAATCCTTTATAAAGTGTAGTCCACCACAGTTATGATAAGCAACTTTTATTGCATGAGTGGTTTGATTGATATTCTTGATACTCCGATCCATGGTGTCAAGTTTTGCGTTGAAAGATACAAATCCATCATATCCGTCTCCCATTTCTCTTGCTTGAATTCCTCCATCTCTTGGTGAGTTCCATTCATGAGAATGCTTAGCCAAATTTTCGATGATCTCTTTACATGCCGTCAGGTTTCTTTTTGAAATTGGACCTGGGGAATCAATGAGCTGCCTTGTATAAACATTGATCCCATTGATAAAGTTTGTATGTCCAGATGCGCATTGAGGTCATTTTTCGACAATTTTGCAACATGGTCTTGTATTTGTTGGGTTTAATTCAAAACTGTTTTTACAAAAAAACGCTAAAAATGGAAATGGAAGCTTTAAAACTTGAATAGTTATTAAAAAACGATATAAACGACGATGCGTCGTGTTTTGCTTTGGACGTGTCGTGTCCTAGCATATCGTCTAGACTTGTCACGTGTGTTGGTCCTTTACATATGTTCTGTCCTTTATATCATGTGTCTCGTCCTTACTATATGTGTCCAACATCTGGATGCCTCGACGAATAACGAATTCTAATTATATGTCTCGTGTTATTAAAGTTGACTTCCTTTGACCGCTTAACTATGACTGCACGCACCGAGTGCCTTATATGGACGTACCGTGTCACCCAAGTTTAGCAACCTAGTTACAATCATATACTAACACATCTTTCATGGACACTTTCATCTTTAAGAAATTTCTTCTTTCTCATCACAACAATCAATGTTCATAAGTTGTTCCTGTTAAGAAAACAAGTGTCACATGACGTGCTATTTCCTTTATTTGTAATCATCTTTAATGTTTATCTTCCTGAATTATATGTTCATGTTATCCTTTCTTCAAATTCCCCCTCATTTAAAGAAGACACAATACAACACACATAAACATAAAAAGCAAATAGTTTTATCTTCATTTATCTATAATGAATACGTTATACGCAAAAGAAATAAACCATAAACCTTAACAAAATACAATACATTCTAAAACTTAAACACAAACCCTAATTATGTCCATCCGAAATTTCAATGAGTCTGCAAGATGTGTCGTGTGGTAAGATTTGTGTCCTTACAAAAAGGAAGATAAGAATCAATGAAGAGGTTGCAGTGAAATTTAATAAAAATATACTAAAGGTGGGGATCTCTGAAGTGGACTTCGAATGGTCTCCTTTTCCATCATGCAATTGGTCGATGGATGATTATGACGGGCACGATAGATCCGGTGATTTGGAGAATTCAGAGAAGAATGAAGATTCAAACTCGGAGGATGAGGATGAAGGTATTTTAGAAACTATTATTTCATCAGGATGGAAACCTACTAATGGAGGTTTACCTGAGGATGATTTGGAAGAAGGAGAATTCCGACATGGTGAATTCACCGGAGACGTAGTGATGGAGGCGAAGGATGTAAGACGTGAGCCTTCGCCGTAAATCAGAACTCAGGTGGGGGAAACGCCGATCTGTGAAGCTAGACCGTTGGGGGGAGATCCAACTCATGGGGAATTCCAACCGACTCCAACGGATAAATGCCAACGGGTGGATAGTGGTGATGACCAACTGGTTGACCACTCAAACGTCGTTGCTACCCAGGTGGTAAATAACGTGAATATCGATATGCTAAACCCGAATCTAGTAAAACTTGGATGTTTTGGGCCATTCAAATATGGGCCTGTTAATATGGGTGGTAGGAAACTGCCAAAATCGTTTGAGCCCCTAAATGAAAATAAAGATGATTCGGAGCTGGAGATTGATTCGATAGATGATGGATCTACTCGAAAGAAGCTGCGACGCTCTTCCCTCTCACTTCTAGACTTAAATTGCAACCCTTGCAACTCTTATGACTCTACTCACGATTTAAATATTGGCGATGATGAAACAATCTCGCACCGCTCGTTTCAATCTTCGGGTCAGATTAAATCTACTGTTTGTCTTGTTGATAATTCTGAGGCTGCCCTAACAGTAGAAATTGGTAAAATGGTTGATGTGGACATTGAAATTGGGAACGAAGTATTGGAGGAGGAATTGGGTATGGAAGGCGAGAGCAATAACCACAATGAATATGCTCTCTTTGAACGTTAGAGGAATTGGGGATGCCCCAAAACAAAGGTCAGGAGATTATGCACAGAGCAAAAGATCTCGGTGATGTGTTTACAAGAATCTCAACTAGGTTTGGCCTCTTCGCTACAATTAAATATTCGAAATTGCTGGACCGATGGCAACTTTGGGTTTGAATTAATCGAAGCAACTGGGAGATCTGGAGGGCCGATCACAATATGGGATGATGGAGCATTCAGGCTTACAAACACAATAAAATCACGGTACTTCCTGATTGTATTTGGTCGTTGGGTGGGCATAAACATTGACATAGCTATCGCTAATGTTTATGCGCCTCATTACCCTGTTGAAAAGAGAAGATTATGGCAAAAATTAGCTCAAATAATATCTAGTAGATCGGCGTTATAGATCCTTGCTGGGGACTTTAACACTGTTCGTAGGCGTGAGGAGAGGATAAATTCCAAATATTGTAATGTGTCTGCTGCTGATTTCAACGAATTTATTCTCTCATGTGATCTTCACGATTTAAGAATGGGAGGATATAAGTTCACTTTTTTCAGACCTGAAGATGGTGGTAAGATGAGCAAACTGGATAGATTTCTAGTATGTGGAAAATTTATGGATTCCTTCCCGGGGCCCTTTGTAATGGTCCTCGCTAGAGAACTATCTGATCATAGTCCCATTGTACTGAAAACATCTGGTGAGGACTTTGGTCCAAGACTATTCAGATTTTTTAACTCTTGGATATCAAGGGTGGGTTTTCATGAAGTTGTAGTGGAGGCATGGAAGAATTTTAAAGGTCATGGGTGTGCCGATGCTTTCCTAGCTGCCAAACTTCGGTTCTTAAAGAAAGAAATAAAGAAATGGCGGGAACTTGGGTTTGCATTGGAAACTAAGGAGTTGGCAGAGTGCAGGAGCAAGATATCACAGTTAGATTCCGTAGCGGAATCTAGAGCATTGTTACCTCACGAGCTGGGGAATCGGTCCAAATGCCTTAGTAGAATTGTAGAGCTTGAAAGGGTGGCGGCAACGGATATGAAACAGAAGGCGAAAATAAAATGGGTGGTTGATGGGGATGAAAACACTTCCTTTTTTCATGGTTTCGTGAGTAACCAAAACAGGAGGAACAAAATTCATGGCTTATTGGTTAATGGTCAATGGGTCACGAATCCTGACACCATAAAAAACGAGGTTTTCCAGCACTTTTCTGTAAAATTCGTAGAAAAATGATTTAATAGACCAAAAATTCGGAGCAGCAGATTCAAAAAACTTTCCCAGGATGAGAGTTCCTTTCTTGAGTTACCTTTCTCGGTTGAGGAAATCAAGAATGCAATATGGTGCTGTGGATCGGATAAGGCCCCGGGGCCGGATGGCTTCTCATTTAAATTCTTTAAAACTTATTGGGATTTGTTAAAAAATGACATCATGGGTTTTGTGAGATCATTTGAGCGGAGGGGCAATTTTTCCATGGGTTGTAATTCGTCTTTTATCTCACTTGCTGCCAAGACAAAAGACACACTATCTCTAAACGATTATAGACCAATAAGTCTCATCGGTGCTTTATATAAGATTGTCGCCAAAACATTGGCGATCCGGGTGAGGAAACATATTGGTACGTGCATTGATGATGTTCAATCGGCGTTTGTGGAAGGGAGAAATATATTAGAAGGTCCCTTGGTAATAAATGAGGTGTGTTCTTGGGCGAAAAAAATGACAGGAAAATATTACTATTCAAAGCAGATTTTAACAAGGCGTTTGACTCTATAAATTGGGAGTATATTGATTCGATTATGGAGCAGATGAACTTTGGAGTAAAATGGAGAAGATGGATAAACGGATGCCTTAAGTCGGCGAGGGCGTCGGTACTAGTTAATGGTAGCCCAACGGCTGAATTTCCGCTATCTAAGGGAGTTAGACAAGGAGATCCGTTATCTCCTTTCCTTTTTATAATGGCGATGAAAGGCCTTAACATTATGATGAAAGCGGCTAAGGAAAAAGGGATATTTGATGGTATCTCCATCCCAAATACTAAAATCTCACTTTCCCATTTATTCTATGCAGATGATGCCTTATTTATTGGTGATTGGTCAACAAAAAATGTCTCCAATCTTGCTAGAATACTTCGATGTTTCCATGTTGTATCGGGACTAAAGGTGAACTTTAACAAGTCAAAGATCTTTGGTATCGGAGCCGACTTTGAGGAGGTATGCCGCTGGGCGGGGCCATTGGGATGTGCGCCTTCTTCCCTCCCTTTTATCTACCTTGGGGTACCAGTGGGAGAAAACATGAATAGAAAAAAAGCATGGAAGCCAATTATTGACAAATTCCGATCCAAACTATCCTTGTGGAAGGCAAAGTCATTGACTTTTAGCAGGAGAATGACTTTCGTAAAGTCGGTTCTTGGGAATCTCCCAACTTTTTACCTTTCACTATTTCCCGCCCCTGCTGGAATCATTGAAGAACTTGAAAAAAATCCAAAGGCAGTTCTTATGGAGGAGTGATTATGAAAAGCAGATTGTACATTGGGTTACTTGGGACAAACTAAAAGCCCCAAAGGATGTTGGTGGGGCAGGAGTGGGTTCTCTATGGAATCTAAACCTGGCCCTTCTTGCTAAATGGTGGTGGAAATTCAAGACTTGCTCGCAATCTCTATGGGCCCAAATTATAAGTGGGTTCCATAACACTACAAACAAGCCTTGGTATTGTTTTGCAAAACAGAAGAGGAGTGGGGTATGGTTAAGTATTGACAAAGTCAAGAATAGATTTTGGAAAATGAATATTGAAGTAAAGGAGATATTGAATACATATGACGAGGGTTTAACTTGGAGATCGGACTATGCGGTGGATGGGAAATTTTGTGTGGCGAGGCTACGGAGTAGACTAGACAAAGCACACCATCCTGTTGGTGATGGTGAATTTTGCTGGCTGAATTCGGTCCCCAAAAAGGTGACAAGTTTTGTATGGCGCGCCAAACAGGGGAGGATCCCATCCGCTGAGGCTTTAGAAAGAAGGAACATTCCTGTTACTTCCCCGATGTGCGGTCTATGCACAGGTCAAAATGAATCTGCAGACCACATTTTAACCTCCTGTTGTATGGCGAAGGAGACCTTATGTATGGTGCTTAATTGGTGTGGAATTCCCATTGAGTATTTCTCTAGAGTTAATCAGGTGCTAGCGTTTGCCAGGAACTGGGGACATTGTCCAAAGAAGAAAGAGACCCTTACTTGTATTCTATACGGTACTATCTGGGGCTTGTGGAAGGCTAGGAATGACCAAATTTATTGAAGCGAGACATCGAAACCGGCGAAAATTGTGGATTTCATCAAAGCCTCTTTACGTGGAGAAAATACAGGACAAAAACAGGTGACAAAATGAATTGGGATAAGTGGTGTGTCTCACCCCTAAATTGTACGTAATGTATGCTTTCTACTATGATGATTAACCTTTGTACTCCTTGCCCCTAGTATCTTGCTAGGGTGCATTTTAATAAAAATTGCCGGTTCAAAAAAAAAAAAAAAAAAAGCTAATTGGCCAAAAATGTGTTATAAGAGCCATTTTCGGTAAACAATTATACCCTAACTAATTATTTATCAATTACCAAAGGGCTTCTAGCCCAGCGGTATCGGGTGTTGCCCTCCCTCTTAGAGGTTGAGGGTTCAAGTCTCATTGGAGACATATGTGAAATTATGTGTAGTTTAGGTGTAGAGTAGATTTGCCATTCTAAAAAACGTTCAAGTCTCATTGGAGACATATGTGAAATTATGTGTAGTTTAGGTCTAGATTAGATTTGCCATTCTAAAAAAAAATTATTTATCAATCTAAGGGGCATAAACTGTTATTACTTTGTTTATCGAGGCATGTTTTACGCTAAACATTAAGTCCTTGAAATTTTACGCTAAACACTAACGTCTCCTTTAGGTCTTTTGTTACGCCTACAAGATCTAAAATCCAAGAAATTTTCAAAATCACTATTGACATGACAATTTTGTAAGATTATTTCCTGAAAATTGGTGACTTAGATTTCTTCTTTGATTTTTACTAGCCTGTACTAATGCAACGAAAGGAATACAAGAGTTCAAACGTAGTAGTATGAAAATTGAAATATGAAATAGAAAGAGTTTCTTTGAAATGATACTCTTAACTGCCACCATCCAGAAACAACGGACTAAAGAATATCTTTTTGGTTTAAACGCCATGCAATATAAGAAGTAGAGAGATGTATATGATGTGAATTTTGGAAAAAAATGTTTAAAAAGTAGCACTAGTCATAAAAAAACATTGTCTAGCCATAATGAAGTGATTAAATGGGTACGTAGAGGATAAGGAAACTTAAAATGTGATGTAATTCTTATTGTGAACATCATTTAGTACCTCGT